AGCTCGGGCCCCAGCTCCAGGAAGGGGAAGGGGCAGATCGAGAAGAGGAAGCTGAGGGAGAAGAGGAGGTCGACAGGTGTGGTGAACATCCCGGCCGCCGAGGTGAGCGGGGACGGGGGGGCGGCTGCCGAGGGGGCGAAGCGCTCTCCCCGCACTGCGGGCGGCAGCGGACGGGCCGCGCGGGGGTCGCGGCAGGGCGGCATCCCAAGCGGCCGACAGATGAGGTGTCATTTATCCTAAATAAGTTAGACCTGTCATAACTTGCGGCTTTTTCCTTTCTTTTTTTTAAAGTAGCTTCTTGTCGACAGAGAGTAAGCTCGAAGCTTTTGGAGCTGAGACACATGCCTCTTACAATATGGTCAAAACAGTAGTAATGAGAGAAAATTGATTTATCAGCTTGGAATAGATGTTCAGGTGTAAATATTATTCGGTTTGGAACACAGAAGAATTTCCTGCACTGGAAAAAATGTAGTGGTTTACAGAGCATTTTTTTGAGGCAGAGGAAGATATTTTTATCAGCCAACACAACTGTCCTCTGTGGTTTGCTACTAGTATAAAAATCTGGCATTGATTTGTAATACTCCTAGAGGAATTCAGAAGAATGATAACTAAGCTTTTAGCTTGTTTTGCAGTTAAGAAGAAAGGCCACAGGAAACTTTGAACAGAGTTGGATTTCTGTCTACAGTTTTGCACTAGTATTGGTGATCACCGTATTTTTGTAGAAAAAAACCTTGTATTCCTTTTGGTTAATATTATTGATTATCAAAGTAACTCGAGACAATTGAAGATCTTTGTTTCTGAAGCAGCAGGAGGAGGTTAAATTGTGTTCTTCACACCTGAAGTTACTAACCCTTCTGACATCCTAGGCAGTTTCACAGCACACACTTGTGAGGTGGTCTTAGAAGGCTGAGAAATGAGTTTCAGGGAGAATAGAAATCTTTATAACTGTGGGTTTTGAGAACAATTACTTGCAAACTTTAGTTTGAGGTAAAGGGTTTTGGCATAGGTCTTCAGTATCATTGTTTTGTAAAGTGGTGAATACAAGTGAGTTCTTTTTGGGTTTTTTTTTCAGAATGTGCAAGCCTCATAGACTGCACTTTGTTTGTTTTACATGGACTTCCCCCTTAATTACCTGCCTTTTGTGCCTTTTATAGGAACCTTAAAATGCTGCATCTTTACTTCTCTAATTGAACTCCTCCTAGCCCAGCCAGTAATGGTTTTGCACATTGCAGCAGGGGTTGTATGACGTGATGTTTTAGGGGTCTCTGTTGTGTACCCTCTCCCTAGTTGTACTCTCTTTGGTTGCTTGGTTTTGAGTGGTGGGTTTCTTTTTGCTCTTTGAGGCTAATGTCCTAGTTCTTTGAACTAGTTTTTTGAACTACTGTTCCTGTGGTAGTTTTTGGGTGGTGTGGTTTGGGGTTTGCTAGTTTGGTGGTGGCTGGGGCTTCTGTTTGTTTTGTTAAAGTATTACTCAAAATAAGTCTTGCTTTCCAGGAAAACACATTCCTTGCTCAGCAGCCATTACAATCCTGTGTTTGAATTTGCTGCATTTTTAAGGGTATCTTTGTTTATTAAGGGCAACATATTTAGGCATTGAGAAACAAGTTCTCACCTGCCCCCTAAACTTTTGAGGGCCTAAACTTTGCTGAGTGTCACCACATGTTGGCGCTTCTTGGAAACTGCTTGTACCTTTATGCTAATTGCTTCTATAACTAGCAATTAAGCATTTCATCATATTTTTAGGGTCAAATTTTAATAACTGTAGATAACAGTTGTACAAGGTGTCATTGGGGAAGCTTGCTACTAGTAACTGTTGCATTTTTTTACCAGCATATACTTATGTAGAGCTATCTCTTTTCAGTATTTAACCTTTCTTAAATGTTTTTATTCATTGCCACATGCATTCCTAAGAATTGTTTAGCTAGGGAACACTAGACCATTCCTGGTAGTGAACAGCTTCAAAAACAGTCTCCAGTGTCAAATGTGAGTACCTACTTACCGGTTTATGCTTTGCAGACTGTTTACTTGTCATGTCTTTCATACAACTACAGAGAGGCATGAGAAAATGTTTTCAAGTATTGATTCAACCTGGTCAGCTGAAGTTCTCAGACAAAAGAAGGCTGTGATGTAGATGATGGCTTGTTGGAGTACACTCCAGTTTCTTGCTGTCTTTCTCACCAGGTGCTAGGCATAGCTTTACTGTGCAGTACGTCGTGACTTGGTAGTAGTACGCACTGAGTTTTACCACTTACAGCTCTTCATGGTGTATGTTTAAAAATTATTTCTCAGGAGATGTTATTTTAGAGCTTTCCTCGGTGTTTCATTGTCTTGCTTTTCAGAAAATAATTTTTGTAATTTTTGTCTACAAAGTAGGCATTTTATGCTGAATATCTCCCTCTGATGATTATCATGCCACTGTGGTGGAGACCAGTAAGATCCTCTGAAATTGAAATAGGTACCTATTGAAAAAAATGCGCTCCAAGAAGATACAAAATGCCTAAAAGCTTTTCTGCCCAAAACTGAATACAAAAATAGGTTTTGCCCCAAAGAATTAGGATTTAATTTCATTTGCAATGCAGCTGGAGAATTTATTGATAGGAAAGGTGGCAGAATACGAAGAGTTTGTGTTGTCTCAGTTATCTTGAAATGGGCATGAAAAACGTTAGAAGATTACTCATTAATGATTAATTTCTTTCCTGTTCAATGAGAAGGTAATAGGGCCAGTTCTTAAAGAGTCTTGTCTCTTCAGTGTATTTTGTATAAACGTTGATAAAGGGTAGAAACTACAGTGGAAGCTGTGAAAACAGATGGTGACAGGTTGGCAGTTGACAATGCTTTGTATTTAGAGACCACCTTGATAAAAGTAAAGGTTGTTTTTTACCTTCTCAGCACTAGTGCTTATCTGAGTAATGGAGACTTTTGAAAATGGCTTTGGAAACACAATGTTTTTCTTTTCAGCAATTGTGAAGTAGTTTCTTGAGAGCTGGATCTGCTCTAAATAGTAAGTGCTATGGGATTTGGGTTATGTTGATTCATAACAATTCTTTAGGTTGTAAAAGGTAACTGAATTATATGTAATTATCATTACTATGTATGTTTCCTTCCTTAAATATTAGATTTTATAACCATTTTTAGTTATGTTTAGAATGTGTTTCTCTGTTTGCAGGTGCTCACTTGATGCAGGTGTTGAGTTTACTTGCAGCTTTTTTCTCATATACAGTTGTGCTAGTGCCTATTTAAGAAACACAGAGTTCCCATTATTCACTTACAGTGCTTTGTGAGGATCCATATATAGGGTGAGACTTAGGTTTTGTATGGTTATAATAATTGTCTGGCTCCAATCAGATCAAATTGCACTGGTGAAACTGCAGCTTTAGTTCCTGTAACTTTACATTTGAGGATTATGCAGGTATAGCTGTGTGAGGTTTTTTTTGTTGTTGTTTTTTTCTGAACTCCAGAAAGGAGAATAACAAGTATTTTTGTGGTTACTTTTTTTAAAAAGGTATGTATGTATTCAAAATCTTGGCTCATTTAGGAAGGACAGTTATCTAGCTGGGTTTTGTGTAATGCATGCAGTATAGATAAAGTTTACATTTTTACTTAACCAGATGGAAGTCATCTAAGTTGGGAAGTGTTCTTTTGTTAATAACAGGGTGATGAATGATTTTACAAGGTGTAAGGAACACTGCTCTGTGTATTTTATACCTGAGGCTGCCAGACCCGAAACACCACAGTCTCCTGACCTGTTTGTGGGAAATACTGGAGTGAAAGGTGGAAGTGATTCAGATATGGACTCTGCAAAAGATGTTCAGCCAGTCTGTGCTCATCTCTTGTCTTATGGACAGCAGTAAGGATATAACTTCTTGCAACCTCACTGATGGCTGCCTGTCAGGAGTCTGCCTGTGTGTTCAGAAGGCACTGCATATGTGGTGCTTGGTAGTGTCCTACTGAACAACAGCCTTGGGAGTAGGCAGAGCAGGGGGTGCTTTCTGTGGGGAAAGAGAGTTCCTGCTACTAGAGAAGTCCAGTGTGCTCAGCTGAGGAGACTAAGTGCTACATGTGTCAGGCATGGCAATTACTCTGTGTGTTGTAAAGGAATTGAAATCCTTCTCTGAATGGCTGGAAACTAGAGAGAGGAGTGGAATCCTGTACTAGCTGTTGAGCTCTTTTGATTAGAAGTTTGCCTTCAGCATTATCTTTCTTAGTGATTCCATACCTGAGGATTAAAGTGCCTTCATGTTATATCTTGAGATTAATGAGGTAGTGTTTTTCCATTGTCTAACATCTGTTGTATTGTAAAACAACTTGTTTCTTTTCGTATGTGTTGTGGGAAAGAAGAGCCTGAATAAGTGGTTGTTCAAAGTACTAGAAAAAAACCCTGCACGATACCCATACCATTCATGCAGATGTAGTAGTATTATAATGGAAGTCTGAAATACATTTATTTGACCTGGACAACCATTCATGATAGGTTAGACCATTCTCCTGATGGCTTTGTCTAGTGAACACCTCTTACTAGGGTTCCATTTATGGTTCTTCCTTCAGATGTGGCAGGGTGAATACAAGCATTTTCAGGTTCCATAAAAGAATTGTATTGAGATTGTTTGTGTCCAGTTTGTTTTGCTGTTAATACCTTTGTGAACTCTGATTTTACCAAGTCTCTTGACAATACCTGTTCAAAAGGCATCTTTTCTTCTTTCCATCTTCTTTTAGCACATGGTAAGCTTATCTTTATTTTTTTTTAAGCTTTATTTTGTTTAAGAGTATGCTTTAATATCCTGACATAGCTAGGTACTGGAAGTTATTTGGCCAGAAAATCAATCACAGCTAAGTTTTTAATAAACTTAAAAGTCTGGAAAACTTTCAATCCCGGAATCCATGCAGCAGCTTCTAAATCACTGTGTGTACCTCCCAGGCCTGGTGTGCCCATTCTGTTGCTTATCACTGGCAAGCCTGGGGGAAAACCAGGTTTGCCTGTGATAAGCAATGGAACTGCATGGCAAAATTTGATGAGCTGCATGCTCATGAGGTCCTTCAGTCATCCCCAGGAGGTGCTGGCTACAATGAACTGCACTTGAAACGTTCCTACACTGATGCACACA